TCTTATATGTAAAAGTCTGTCCCCCCCTTCCTTTTGATTGTGAGCCGCCCTGAGTCCCCCCAGGGAAAAGGGCTGCATATAAATAAACAATCCAATCCAATCCAACTGAGTCGCCCCGGGGGGGGGGGGGTGTCCTCCGGGACAGGGACTTGGTCGTGAGACCAAGAGGGGGCCAGGGATGGAGGTTCAGTCAAAAACCTGTCCGGGGACAGGTCTTGGGACTCTACCTCCTCAGACATTAGAGCCATAGGATCCCTCCTAGGGAGGGGAAGGACAAATGAATCCCCAGTGGGAGTGCCTTTGCCACCAGGCTTTCTCAAATTGTTTGTCAATTGTTGGCACCTTGCAGCGTCTCTGGCCTCAGCCGCTGTAGGGGCCCTGAGGGGATGATGTGCCTGGGTGGTCACCCTGTCTCTACCAGTCCCACTGCCCATGAAAGGGGGAGAAACCTTGTTATGGCCCTGAGAGGGTCCTGGTCTATTGGCTGATGGACCAGATGAACCAGACATCTCCATTGTCAATGACCGCACAGGCTGCTCTGTCAAGCGCAGGTCGTAACGGGAATAGCTGAGGCTCTGATTGGCTACACTGCAACACGAAGAGAAAAAAGGTCCATTAAATTGAGAAAAGGCTTGTAATGTCAAAAAAAGGAAAAAAAACACAATTTAATCATCCAGTGACAAGAAACAATGACTATGGAGCAGTATCAGTGGTGGTTACGTGGAGGCAAAGGCCTGCAGCCGGTTGGCTAACAAGCCAGTCAGGAGATCCGGGAGGCCCAGGCCTATTAACAGACAGAAGTATGAGGGTAATGCCTGGAAGCTTTCCCTGTGCCGGTGCGGTGGCCCACAAGTAGACCAGGGTCCCAGTGCCGCATTGTGGTCGATAAGAGTGGTAGGCGAACAGTAGGCAACTCCGGGCTGGCCCCCTGCCACTCAGTGGCTCCTGACTCAGTGTGGTTGTGTGGTTAACTACGAGGCCGAAAAGAGCGCGAAAAACGTTCCCAAAATGGCCAGCACGCAGCGAGGGAAGAAATGGAGGGAAAGCGGTGATCGACCGGTTAGCCAGCGATCGCGCGCTCCTCCGCGGCAGTTTCTGATGAGGGAAAGCCCAAAAAGCAAAAAAACTCTGAAGAAAACAATAAAGAGGGGACCGCTGGCTTGAAAATCACTCTGCCGCTTTTGCCGCACCTTTTAGAAATGCGCGGTGAGCCTCCGAAGCCGGCCTGAGTGGAACGGCATGGAGAGGCCTCCCCCAACAGCACGCTTACCTCCTGGCCTCCTGGAGGCTCGTAACGATGAAAGCTACAGTAGTTTGGGATAGATTTAAGAAGGAAAGGAAGGAGAACAGTTTAGAGGGAAAAGTTAGAAGAAAAGGCCAAGCCAAAAAACTAGGATAATTCAGTTGGAGCTCACACAATTGCTTCCAAACGGGCAAACTGAGTAAAACTTTCTGGAGAGCGATCACGCCAGCTGGCGTGGTCAGGGAAGTTTCCTCGGTTTCCAGGGCAACCAGACTGAATTAACCCATTGCTTGGATTCTCCAAGCGGTGCACAGGAGAAATGTCTGTTTTATAAAAAAGTATTACTCAATGAAACAGATATAATGCAAATAAATATGGTAAGTAGAATAATAGTCAAATCAAAGATTTTCTAATTTTAAAATATCTATCCTTATAAAGCATCTTTCTCTTCCACATACACAATAAGCTCCATTCATATATTTAATATTTGAAATTCTCAACACATTTTCACCCACCACCAATATTATTATTTGCAATACTATTATTTGCAGAAGAAAAATGATATATACACTATTAATTTTTCATGTTTCTAAACCTATCTCTCTCAAAATTGAAAGCTTTTCCAACAAACGTGGCATAATTTAGTCACCATAATGTGAGTTGTCCTGTAACATCTGCATAGGATTATATAGATTGATTTGAAATTATCTGAGGGAATGGATAAGGAAAGGCATCAAAACCCTAAAGCACATAAAAGCTAAATCCCAATTCACTGTAACTTATTCTAGAAAATCTGTCATATAGAAAAAATTATGTCTAAAGTTATTCTTTAAATTGCAAAACTATAAAAATTTAAATTAGAAAATGAATGGATGTTCATCTTGTAAATTGAATTACCTGAATTACAAGTTAAATTACAAATACTGAATGTAACAGATACTTTTCATTTTTTTGCACAAAAATCATTCTATTTTTGTCTTTACCATACTAAGAGAGTTTTTAATCTCCTATTCTAATAATTGATTCAAATTTAGCCTGAATATTAAATAAAGAAAGAAAGCTGAAGTGAAAGCAATTAGACAACTATTATACCTGCTTATAGAACAAAATGTAGACTCATTTATTTGAGATTAAGAGGTAGGCTCTTGCCGTGGTGGGTTCTGGATGCTGTTCCAACCGGTAGGGTTGAAACGGGCCTCGCGTTGTCTGCATGCGTCTTACTGGCCAGTAACGCCTCCACGAGCCTCCAGCTGCTCGGTAGAGTGTTGTGCAGGTGCTGTATGTGGTGTGCGCGGAAGCGCCAAAGACTTTAAAGACAGGTAAGGAGTGCAGGAGGGCAGACCCTCCAGAGCACTGTACTGGAACGTTATCCGGTGCTCTGGACAGGCTCCGGTGCACCCGTACAGGGGCATACCGCCTGCAACCCACCACTGGGCTCTTGGTATAAGGTGAAAAGCAAAGACTCCTTCAAGCTTAACTCTTTAAAACCTCTCTTTTTCAATTACAATGCTATGCAAAAAATATGATTCAAAGAATTGGCATTATTTAGTTTATTACCATATTATATCAAATTTTCAACTTATAAACAATTTGTGCCAATTTTAACTTTTTTAACCAAACTGCAATATTTATTTTAATATTTAAAGGGTTAATTATATAAAGTTCAAGTACAATGCCATCCTGGATTGCAGAACTTTTACAATGTCATCAAATTAAGCAGATTTTTTTTTTAACTTCCGAGTAGTTATGTATAGCTTTTCAATGTAAATTACTTTAGAGTTAGTGATGACTTTCAGTGGTTTTAAGCCATTAATGTTCCTAGTTGTCCTGTCTTATTAAATTAGCTATCCTTAAAAGAATAATAAATAATAGATGGACTGGTCAGGGTTGTTTTGTGTTTTTGAAAAAAAACAGTTTAAAAGACATCAATGGCTTGCACCAACCCAACCCCTTTCTTTCAAAACACAGTACATTCTGCTAGGTATACTACCATGGAAATGTGGGCTCACTAATACATTTCATTATATGCAATAAAGATGGGCAAAAAACCTGTTTCCTAGATATGGCCTCTTAAAATATAGATAATTTGACACATTACAGCGAGTTTGTTTGAACAATGTTTGTATTTTAATCTTGTTATTTATTAAAATTTATATCCCACCTAGTTCCAAGTGATTCCAAGCTATTTACATTTAAAAGATAAAAAGGACAATAAAAGCATAAGGAAACAAAAAGCAGTAGAAATTGCAGAACCAGGTAGAAACAAAAGAAAACAACCTAAATTAAAAAGGAAGTTTCAGTTTCAGTCGTGCCCACTAAAGGCCTGAATAAAAAGCAGCATCTTCAAGGCATTTCATTGGCGGTTTCCATTTAGAGCTCATTCCAGAGGCAAGATCCACAAGAGAAAAGTAAACCAAGAATCTAGGTTTCTCTATGCAAGGAATACTTTACAACAGCAAGCCTTCTCTTGAGCAATACTTTGTATGTTGTTGCTTTTATAGTTATGTTTTAAATGTTTTAAATCATTTTTAAACATTCTGGAGTCAGGCAGCATATAAATTTAAATATACAACACTAAAAAATAAACACTGTTTAAACAAACCTGTTACTAAGTGTGGAATTACCTATATTTTAAGAGCCATATCTAGGCAAATTGTACATATGAATTTTTACTAGAATCCTTATAAAGATTAATGCATTCATAATCTCTGTTTTCAGATTGATTTTGAACAACATGCTTTAAGGCTGACCTAATCTTTGGAACTTCCTTGCTTCTTATCCATTCAGTTATACTTTTTTACTGATTTATATTGTTTTTAGGTATACTGACTTGTGAATAATTCTGGAGAATTATTATCCATTCAGTTATACTTTTTTACTGATTTATATTGTTTTTAGGTATACAGAATTGTGAATAATTCTGGAGAAACCACCTTTATTTCTGAATTAGAATTTTTAACCTTTTCCATGGAGATATCTATAATTGCTTTCTCCTTGAAATCAAATTCATTTAAAGAAATTAGTAAAATGTGAGGATTTTTTATTTATTTAGAAGTTTATCCTGGAAATGAAATATAAGACGTATATACAACAAATTACAGTCACATGCTTATACTTAAATAATACCATGTTTCTATTTAATATTCTTATATTGAATTGAGGACAGCACATCTTCCTTTTTATCAGTCTTAAAATATAAGGTTTTATTTAGCTGCTTTGCATGCTTTTAATCATACAACTAACCACCGAGGTATCCCTTTTCTTTTGAAGCATAGATGCAGGAGGAGTACCAAGTCTGTTTTTTTTAAAGAAATTATCTGCTTCATTCCTTATATAGCCTCATGGATTTTGCACAGCTTCTGAAACTACCAAGTGAGAATCTTGTACATTTTGCATTCTATTACACAAATCTCATTTATAAAGTGCTTCAGAGTTCTTGCCTGTATCATCTTTAATGCAAATATGTTTAGGAAGTGGGGAAAAGGAATGCAACATACACAAATAAAACACCAAACTATGTTTTCCTTCCTGCAAGTTGAAAGCCGCCTAGGTGGCCTTGGGACAGTTACTATCTCGGCCCAACCCACCTCACAGGATTGTTGTTGATAAAATATAAGATGAGAAAAGAGTATGTTTTCTGCCTTGAGTTATTTACAAATAATAATAAAGGTGGGATGAAAAAAATTATATACAGAAAGGGGCTTCTCATAAAGATTGACGGGAGCATCCAGTGGGATATGCTCCTACATTTGTTGGAGCCAAAGGATAGCCGTGCGGCTGAAGAATATCTCCTGTCACTACTGCTAGCGTTAGGAAACGTCCCGGGCTTTTCCCACTGCTTCTTTACTAGCTCTGGGGACAACTTAGGAGCAGGAATCTCTTCCTCCGCTGCGGGGGTCTCTGAGAAAACCGGCCCCTCTGGCTTCTTCCCCGGGACTCCCTCCTTGGCACCCTCCTTGGTGCCCTCCGTCTCACCCAGCTGTGCCGTGGCCCTAGCCTTACGGAGCAGGGACTTGAACAAATCAGGAAGAAATAAACCCGAGAAAGCCAGTGGCTCAGTCCTCGAGCTAGCTTCATCATACGACATATCTACTTCTCTCTGTACTTGATCCCCAGCCATGGAAGCCTCGCTAGCTAAAGAAGAGGACACTGGCCTGCGCACCTCCGGAAGAGAGGACCTAGGCCTGGCTTGAGCTGTGTTCCCCCCCCCCCCCCAGCAACTTGTCCTTCTTAGGCAAAAGACAGAGATGAAACTGGGAGCCAGAAGCAAGGAGCACAGAGGTGTGGCTTCAGTTTAACTCTGTCTCGAGGCCAATTGGACATCAGAATACCCAATCCTGGGTCA